CAGCAGGAGCACAACTTTTTCCAGTTGCATTATGCAATTCACCACCCTGCCTGAGAAGTTGTATGGCAAACATCAGCCTTGGCCAACTCTTTAGAAGCACTTACAAGTTTCCAACAACATTGGTTGCTCTCCCACAATTCATTACCTTGCTTTTAACATCGGTACCAAAAAACAAGTTTTAATTCCTCATGGTTTAAGATACAGCGCGCATTAAAAACTCCAAGTTGATGTGTGACTGAATTGCTGCCCTATCTGGAAATCAGGAGCTTAGAAACTCCTTTTCACAGCTATAATCAAGCTTTTGAATAGTAATAAATTTATCATGCATTTATTAGCTATGCAGCTGCATATTTAGCAACATAATGATATCCTGGTAAAATGAAGCCACAGTAACACATTCAACACCTGTATTTGTCTTGATACAGTAAACAAGACTGTTAATTTTTTGACTCAAGATATTATCTTTATTAAATAAAATGCAAATTAGGCAGAATCTACTATAAAGTTGATAACTCCTTTTTAATTAAAGCCTTTTATTTTTACATTTGAATGGACACAATTTGGTTTATTTTTTAGTACCATAAAAAAGGGAGGCAGAGTACCTGACTTGTTTTTCTAATACCTGCTTTGCTTTTCAGCTCTAGAGAAATTTCAGACACACTGCGGTATCTTGCTCTTCCACCTGCTGTATCACACAGGGAATTATGTCAGCATGTACTGATAAGTGACACTGGTCTGACTGTATCAGACCAAAAGCTTTGTTGTTATGCTCAAAGGACACCAGGTGGTGGTGGAAGACTGCTTAGTAGCATATTTGCATTCCTATATTGTGACATTCATGTTGTCTTTCTCTTCAGGCTGCCTCTTCTCCTTCAAAATATGCACTGCTAATAGCTTTGAGACTTAAAAATAGTAATACTGGGTCTTCCAAAAAGCCTAGCCAGCATAACACCCTGTTTGCAAGCGTACCCTAAAGCAGATGCCAGAAAGAAGGGTAACAGCGAGCCAAGCACAAATAAGCACTTTTTTCCAAGCAGTGTCCACAATGCCAGCCAGCAGGTAACAGTGGTGCACTCCATGTCATCTGGCTCCTTCCACCCTACTCCATTTCCCAGCCTGGCCTTAAGAGACTTTAATAAGCTTTACTGGGCTACCATTTTATGAAAACAGAGTCTGGTATGAATCTCCTCACTCCACCTGCTTAAAACTTGTTATTAACATTTAAATTTGACCAACTCTGATGAAGTGTTCTGTTAGGAAGATTCAGTTTAAAGTCCACATTTTCAAACTACAAAAAAGTATTTAGCACTTTAAGGAAACACAGTGTCACTGTGCATAAGGCTTCACAACACAAGCTATTTACTTTCACCATTTTTTACTAGCTTTTATGCTAAACCCATCATTTCCACAGTTCCTGTCCTGTTCAGTCATACAGTTTAGAAACAAAGGCTATTCCCACTTCTAACACTGACATTCCTATATAGCATACCAAAACACATAGAAAACCCTGAAAAGCCTCTGGGTAGTAGTGATTGAAGAGTTTAACTGTAAAGGCATAAGAGCATCATAATTCAGGGATTCAGAGGGCAAGCTATGTGAGATTTCTTAGATAATTAAGAATGACCCATAATTCACTAGCAGCCATAGGAAATTCTACTATCCCCATGGCTTTGAGAGCAAGAAATCAAGTCAACTGTACATGAACTGATGTTTTCAACCTTCAAGGCAAACAAACATATCCCATCTATGAAATAATTTTATTATTTCTGGCAGTGAATGTTTGATACATATATGAATTAAATACTTGGGCAAATGGTAAATATCAGCAGTTGACATTTTTTCCTTCCATAAAAAAATAATTAAACTTTCTGCTTAGATACTCGTTTCAATTTTCTGGTAAGCATTACAAATATTTTTTAAAGAATATCCCATGTTTTTACTGTGATATACCACACATTTTTGCAGGCGCAGAGTACTTTTTTATAGTCTTACAACTACTTGACACAGCAGTGTCATTAGTATTTGCGCTGAATTTCAGTTTCATTTGGCACTTCCAGAGCAATACAGAGATTCCCTGGAATAATAACTGGGAGAGGAGGAAAAAAAATGCTGCTGTTTCCAACTGCTTGCCAGCAATCCAAGAGATGCTGTTCTCAGGAGAGTGCCTGGTAAAAAACCACAGTTTTCTATATTAACTCTGTAGGTCGTAAGCTCAGTTCAAACTCTGAAAGATAATTTAAACCAAGGCATTTGCTAGTAGCTCAAATGACTTTCAACGGTTCATCTGTTTTCTGCACTCTTTCTGCTGCATTTCTTTGAATACTGCATATCTACAGTTGCCAACTATTATAAACTACAAAGCCTTCTTGTTACAACTAGCTTCAAGCCGAAAACAAAATTAAAATCTCATCCAACAAAGCTCTGATAATAGCAGGCCTACTTTTTTTTATGACTAAAATGAAAAAGCTTTATTCATGCTGCAAAGCAGTCAGAGACCAAACAGTCTATGCACCACTGTGCTAGGCTCTGCCCTAACAGAACACAAGAGAAGTCTCAGCACTAAAAAGCTGGCAAGTCTAAATCATTTTAGACAATTTATCTAGAAGTCTGGGGCACAGCACCCCCACAGACTGGAAGAACTAGAGATAGGGCAGAGGAAAACAAGGCAGGGGAGAAGTCAAGTGAATCCACTGTTACACACAGGTTAAACAGGAAGCACAATCCACCTGGGAAAAAGTTTTCAGGAAAAATACTTCAGTGAACACTGATTTAAAGCAACCATAAGATTCAAAGTTTATACTTTCTTAGCAAAATATTGTGCTGAAACTCTTCAAAAGCAAAGGGGATCCAGAAATTCATCCTACATTATAAACATTACCATTTTCATAGTATTTTTAATGTGTTGAAGACTTTCTTTACTGCATGACTCTACATATTAAAGTGTTATAACTACAACTTTCCTCGTAGGCTGATTAATCAAGCATTTCTTTTCCTTCTCTGGAAGAATATCTATCTGGAATGTGGGTTTTAGGCCAAAAATGAAAACTTAACCATTTAATAGATATCTGGAAAAAATAATTGCTATGTCAGTGAAGCTCAGTAGGCCGAGTCTAATTCTAATAATTAAGAGGATGAAAATGCTGAAAGGGATGCTAGCCCCTACCCTCTGCAGTGTGAAAAAAGTAACCATCAAGTTGAAGTTCATTTTGAAAGTGCTAAAGATAAATCATGGGCCTGAAAGAAAAAGCATGAAGACATGAAAACAAACATGTATATGACCATGAACACACACATGCATGTTCTTATACACTGATGCCATATATCAGTAATAAACTGTCTGAAAAGCAATAATGACTAACCTCCACATTTTAGTGAAACTGTGCATCAGGCTCACACAGCAGGGCAGAGCAGGAGGTTTCAGTCCATCCATTTGAAGGAGGAGGGCAGGAACACCATACAGAACCAGGTATTTCACATAAAAAAACAGGACTTGAGCTAAAGCCAGGCCACCTAAAAAAAAAAAAAAAAAAATCATACTTTAAACAAATTCTGAAATACTTTTAAAACACGTTAATACCAATTACTTCCAAACAGCCATTATTCAAAGGACTAAAGCAAGCATCGTCGGTTGATGGGATATACAATACTTACTTTTGCAACAACTTAAGGACACAAGCACATGCAATTATGACTTTAGGCACACACACACATGAAATAGTACCATTGTTCCAGTATGAAGGCATAAGTAAGCATCTTTTTTTCAAAAAACTTTGGACCATGGGTATTGACTGCTATGGAAAACAATTACTGACTCATGTTGAGCTAAAAAACCAGAACATAGTGATATATAAGTAATGAACATTTACCACAATAAATTTTACCATTGCAAAAAAACCCCAGCCAACCACCCTTCACTTGTTCCTCCAGGACACATATAAACAATGGTTACCTTTGCAGTTTATCCTGAGAGCTCCACAAACAACCCATGTATTGTCAGATTGTGTCCCCCAAAACACCCCCACAAGATCTCCCCTGATGCAGCAGAGGCATAGAAGACCAGAATTTAGTGGCATAATGCTTAAGGCATATTTCAGTTTTTAAACCCACAGGAAAAAGGCCTCCTTAAGGTGCTTTAGCTGCCCGATTCCAACAGAAAAATTTTGGCTGTGTGTTTGCTCACAGCTTAACCCCACGGTATGGCAAACAATGCAGCATCTTGCACAACGTGAGACAAAAATTATACTGGCTATTCTCAGGGTTATTACTCACACAAGTAACAATTTTAGAATGCATTATAAAGCAAGATTATTTATATTAATATTCTAAATGTATTCTGCTGAATAAAATGCCAATAATCATAAGAATAATCATAAGAAAAAAAAATATCAGTAGAAAGCAGAGGCCAACATCTTCACAGAAACTAGTGAGAGTTCACTCCTAAAAGTACCATTGACTTGGGCAAACTTTGCCATCTGACTGACAGTTGACAAAAGTAAAATCTAATCCCAAGGGAGGGAAAGTACAATTATAATTTGGAAGAGTAAAAAAAGTTATAAAATGCAATTGTTACATCTCCTTCCTTTCCAGTGTTTTGCTTTCCCTCACTAATATTGTGATTTGACTGGAGTACTTTAGATATTTAATATAATTTTAAAACCTTCCAGCACTTTGCTTGGAGACAAAGTTCTCAATCTGACTCCAGCAGCACAAGTCCATGAATATCTAAATCATTTGGATTTTTTTGGCAAGGCACTCCATTTGCATTCTGCTGACTAATGGGTATACTATGGATGACAACCAGAAGTTAAACATTAAAAATTCATCTAATATATAACAACTTAGGGTGAAATTCTGGCACTAATAACGTAAATTGTAAAACTCCTGCTGGCCTACATGTGGACAGCATTTTACTGCTACAAGCCAACATTTTTAGTTTTAGTATCATGATATAAGAAACAGTTGTGTCATACAAGATAAAAATTGATATTACAACAAAATACCTAAACATAAAGCTTATGGTATGTTCCTTCAGGGACAAGTCATCTAATATTCAATAACATTCTTCACCAGTGGAAAACAAACAAATCAGAAGCACAATTTGGATACTAGCCAATTAGCTACACATTAGACTACTGCTAAATCATCTATACAGCCAACTTTCTCCTTTAATTCCCATCTCATTCAGTTTCTCATTTCTTTTCTGACAAATTTCATTGGAGAACTGAATGCTGACACCCACACAAACCAATTATGAAGATCACAGCTGTCTGTGCATTGGTAAAATTCAAATTCCTTTTGTTGTGCTTGATAGAAACACAGATTCAGAGACACAGATTACCATTCTCTTGAGACCCAAAAACCAATATATCTTATTTTAAATACAATGATGAAAGATTCCGAGTTCTCAGATACTAAGTTACAATACACAAATTTTAGGGGGGAAAGAACAAACATTTTCACCACCTCTAATAACGTTATTGACAACTCAGGTGTGTGTTAACTAGCAGACAGCTCAAGAGCACTGATATCTTAAATAAACGTAGACATCACATCACCAGTCACCACCTGGCACACACTAGCTAACCGCATGTGGCAATTCTAAGGCTCACGATACCAGCAATGTGAAGGTCCCTATCAAAATAATGTACATTAAGTTCTCATTGGTCTTCAACTCATCCCAGCTGTGTGAGCGTTCTGGCCACACAACAGCTGGGCTGCACTGGCAGCAGGTAAAGGCTTTAAACCATCTTGCATACCTGAGACATTCCAGCTGCTTTGCATTTGCTCCATTATAGCACAAAGCAGCCAGAAGTACATTGCTTCACCTGATTTAAAAACATTAAAAAAAGAAATTTAAGATCAATGCTGAATTTCTCAAATTCATTAACAATATCACATAATTGGTTCTCTAGTATTTGATTTAAAGCTTAAAAAGACTGGCACACCAGCATTAACTTTAATTAGAAACAAGCTGTATCAAGTCTATATTAAAAACACACCTAAGGGAAAAAGTACTGAAAAAATGCTATCTTTTTTCCAGAGTAAGTTAATTCAAAGGATTTGGAGTCAAGGTTAATTTAAAAAAAAAAAAACTGAAACATGTTAAAGTTTTTTCTTTTAAATCAAAAAAGTACCCATACAATCTTAAACACATGCACTTCAACAGTCAAGCTGTTTGAAGTCCCAGATTAAATTAACTGACTTTTATAGAGATTGATTTTTTTCCAATTTATCTTGCAATCCTTAAAACATTCTAAGTTTTCCTATGCTTTAAAAATGCATTTAGAGACCTTCAAATATTGACCATCCTTAAATTTACTGCAAAACTGCATTTCCTAAGTTTCACAGAACTTTTTTTCAAGTATAATTCTGTCCTGGTTTTGGCTGAGATAGAGTTAATTTTCTTCCTGGTGGCTGGTATAGTGCCCTGTTTTGGATTTGGGACGAAAATAATGTTGATAACATACTGATGTTTTCAGGTGTTGCTATGCAGTTAAGGACTTCACTTCCCATGCTCTGGCCTTCCAGCAATAAGTCAGGAGGTGCACGGGAAGCTGGGAGAGGGCACAACCAGGACAGCTGACCCAAACTGGCCAAAGGGATATTCCATACCATACGACATCATGCTTAGTATATAAACTGGGGGAGTTGGCTGGGGAGATGCCACGAAGAACTAACTGGGCATTGGTCAGCAGGTGGTGAGCAACTGTGCTGTACAGCACTTGTTTTTTATAGTCTTTTACCATTATTATAATTTTTTTTCCTGCCCTATTAAACTGTCTCTATCTCAACCCATGAGTTTTACCTTTTTTTTAATTCTCTCCCCCATCTCGCTGAGGGTGGGGAGAATGAGTGAACAGCTGTGTGGCTGTTTTAGCTACATGCTGGGTTAAACTACAACAAATTAGAATTCAGAACATTCACAGAATTTTACTTTTTCTTTTTAGTTTTCATATTCTCAAAACTCTGCCTGATATTTTTTGACAAAGTTATCAAACAGAACATTTTCATAAGTAAGCGACAAAATATTTCAATCCAGGTATTAGAAACCACATTTGGCATGTTTCTGTCCATAAACCATCACCAACACTCATGGTCAAGAATTGTAACTTAGCAGGCAATTTTATTATGAGCACAACAACACAAATTTACCCTTTTCGCAGCTACATCGACCCTATGGCATTAGTGATTGTAGATGCTTGTTTCTGTCAAGTACCAGGACAGATTCAACTAGAAAAATGTATCAAAGATAAATATGCAGTCATATTTCAAAAGCATTAGTGACATACAGCACAAGTCTAATAGGAAACAAACATTTAAAACAGCTCAGAATTTCAGGACATATCAAGTTCAAAATACCAGGTTTTTGGGGTTCATTTACCCTTTCTCTTATTTTTTACATGTCCCTTCTCCTATAGAAAAAAAAAATATGCAGGGATTCCTTCAAATTAAAATCTCCATGAAAGAACATGGCTCTGCACTGGAGCAGATAGGCTACAGATGTATCTCACCAGCAACACCAACAATCATAAGATGCATCAGGAGTTTCCAGCTTCATTAATCAATCAGTAAGAGCATGATTATTGACAAACATTACACACTGGACCACAGCCTTTCCTTCACAGCAGGACACTCCTCCCTGACATGAGCCCCAAGACTGGGTCTACCATGACCTTCTTAGTTTGGTATTGACCACAGCAGGATGCTACACCTCATGCTGCGGGAAAGCTTTCATACGAACATCTGAATACCACAGCGCCAAGTCAACACGGCACAAGCTGCCAGGTAAGGAGAGCTCTGCAGCCCTTGCCAGCAATTCCACGTATATTGTGCTGTGCTGTTCTGTCCCCCAGTCAGGGCTCACCGCCCACTCATACCTGCTACACTCACCCGAATTAACACGAAAGTGATGGCTCAATTCTCTTACTCCTGTCTCTAGCCATTGAAAAAGAGCATCGTGCAAAAAACGTGAAGCACCCTAATGTCATTACTTGAACAGAAAACAATGCAATTAACAATTAGGCTCATATTGCTCAGCAGTGTTTTTCATTGCTGCTTGGCAGTGCTTTGGTGAGCTGCTGGCTCACAAAAACCAAAAGGAACAAGGAAAGAAAAAAGCACGACAGGGACTCCTGCAGCCCACCTTCATATCCCAGCCCTCCAGTAGCACACAAACAAGAATCCTAAAACATATGGGACAGTGGTAGGAAAGTACATATCACAATGTTTGCCCTGGAGGCAAAGTGCTTTTTAGACAAAGTTGTATGGACATAAAGATCCCAAAGTGAAGTTACTTAAACAAGACTAAACAGAGCTGCCAAGGGACTCTTGGTCAAGGCATAGACAGATCTTCCAGGTTACTTTTTTTCAAAGTTTTTTCAAAGACAGATATGCCTTAAAGCCACCTACCTTGAATACTCCAAAAACATCTACAGTAGGCATTAAGTTCATTATATTGTTCAAATACTTGCAGGAAAGAACTCTCTAATGAAACCGTTATAACAACTAAA